TTGAAAGGACAGGAACACCCCTCCATACTAACTTTTAATAGGGTATTTTTTTTTTCTTTTTGGCAAGAAATGTGGAACATTCAACAACAATTGGATGTTCCGTAACCATCCCTCCCAAAAGTTAAAAAAAAAAAAAAGAAAAAGAAAAACTCAGAGAAACGTGAATAAAGACCAAAAAATGTGCCACATTCAACAATGGTTTAGAGATGTAGTGGAACGTTAATTTTACGTTGTACTTCTTATTGTTTAGAGATATAGTGGTTTTCACAATTGAATTAATTTTTTATATAATAGACCAATAAGAAGGAGAAAACAAAATTACTCATATCTCAATTAATTGAGCTTCTTGTCAAAGCCCACCATCTGTGTAAACTCCTCCAGTTTAATTATTGATGGTCAGAATCAATGAATTGTTAGATTAATCTTCCAGTTGTTTGGATTTAGTTTACCATGGTTCATAAAAACGAAATGGAAACTTTGATGCATAATCATCCCTTGTCTTTCTAAGGGGCGGTTCCTTTTGGATTTTGAAAGGGGGGATCATTGGTGAATGAGATTTTGATTCTTATTAACCAAGAATTCTATACTTTTTCTCAAATTTATATGGGGATCAAGGAAAGTTTATTTTCTTAGGTATCACTTACCTACCTCCTAGGTGGGTAAATAACTTTTTCACTTGGGGTAAGTTGCCATCACTTGAATAGGACATAAATGTCCTTTTTAATAATGGATTCTTGTGGTTAAAATGATCATTGGCTTATTTGCATGTGAAATAAAAGAACATGGGTTAATGCACACTTACCCAAGTAAGTCTTTCCTGAGAAACACTTACCCAGATAAGTGCTTTTATCCGGATAAATAACTTACCGAAAAACGAATGGGGCCTAAGAAGCAAGAGTACTGTTATTGTGAACGACTGAAACGAAGGTTAATTTACTTAGGAAAAGTTTTCAACTTGACAATAAACCTCAATTGGGGTAGATTTATTTAGCCAATATCAACAAAAAGATGACGCAAAATATATATTTTTTATTTTCTTCACAAAATTCATTCCCACCTGAATTTAGAACTAAGAATAACTGTGAAGTGAAACCATCTATAACCTATGTGAAAGTATTAATTATAATTCTTTATGATATATTACTGTTGTTACCTAGATTGGCCGAGGGCAATAAGGTAATTTTGCTCCTAAGCTCTGAAGGCTGGCCAAAGGCTTCAAGGGTTCAGAGTAGGTGCACTGAGGTCGAGGACTGTAGGCCGAGGCGGATCGTTCCCTGGATATTATAGAAGCCAAGGGCTTATGGCCGAGGGTTGTTAACTTGCTGGTAAAGTCCTTTGAGTATCGAGGTACTGCAAGACAAGAGGTGTCAGAGGCCTCAGGTGAGAACTCGAGGCAGGGGCTCCGACGGTCAAGTTAGTATGAAGGTAAGATGAATGGGGTCTCATGTTGAAGAGGGCTCAGAAGAGGGCACTCACAAGCACTAGGCTCCCAAGAATCAAGTCTTTCTCTAAGAGTAGAGTTAGAGCTTGGAATGCAGGATTCAGGATTAAGCTTCCAGTCCCCTTACCTGGAGGGGGTATCTTGTATTTATACTTGAGCTGCCGGGAGGTAGACGGAGATGAACACTTCGGATGAAAGCCATACGAGGGCGGTCAGCGGCCATTGTGGGGACGCAGGGGCACTCTGCGGTTGGCTCCGTACGAGGGGGCAGGGTAGCCCTTGCCGTGCTAAATCATGCTCCCATGTCTGGTGCTCGTGGGCTGGGCCGGGCCGCCCTACATCAATTATATTTCTGTTCGTCTCAGTACTTAAAATCATTTGTAAGATACTGAAAAAAGTAATTATTAATGGGGATTATTTAAATCATAGTTCTCAAACAGTTTATTGATCTGGACGGTCGAACCGTTTGGCTCGAAAACCATCTACGCCAAACGGTCAGACCATATTCACTGTTCAGATTTTTCGTGGAAGATTGAACACTGCCCAGCAGTCAATAATGTTTAATACTAACAAATTGTTTAATACTTGAATTGAACGAATTCATTTATTTGAAGAGATCAGCTTCAATTAGTGCAAGGTCCATTTGAACAGACTTTACAGCCTTGCACTAGAATATTTCCGTACCTATGTACTTTATTTTATTTCATGGGGAGATATTCCCAATGCAAGGCCATAAAGACTGTTCGAACGGCATTGCACTTACTGAAGCTGAATTTTTATTTGAAATGATAAATTATTTAATATTTTTTATTTTTAAGGGGTTTGACATTGATGCCGCAAAGAGATGATACCCAAAAAAATATATAACCAACCAACTGGAATCATAAAAGTGGTAATCAAACAGGTGGGATTTTATCATGACTTTCAAAACTGGACCGGACTGGATGATCGGACCATTAAAACCAGGAATTGGTCAGGTGACCAGTTTCCTTTTCCCCAAAAGCCGAATTTTCCCCCAAAACTGTTGATTTTGATCAGTGAACCGCTGAATCAGGTAGTTAACTGTTTGAACTGTTCGAACGCTTTTGACTTTTTTTTTTTATTTTTTTATTTTTTTGTCAGAATGGGCCAAGCGTTTGGGTTGAATGATCGGACCGTTCGAACTGATAACCGGACCCCTGACCAGTTCGATCACCGATTCATTTTTAAAAACCATGATTTTTATCTCATGGAGCTTTAATAGGTTTCTGGCATCATAAATTTTCCCTTTTCAAAGTTATGAATTGAATAAAGAGACCGGTAGACTACACAAGTGCATAGTAAGTAAATTGTAAAAGATTTGTTTTGAATCTCTTCAATTTTTTTAAATTACTTTTATCATGTAACTGATTGATTAGAGGGATCTAAGATTGATTTTGTTTTTTTTTTTATTCTAAATTTTTATTGTTAGTTTGTCACTACTGGAATTCCTTCATTCAATACATTGGAAATTTTAATAGCAAAAGGAAAACGATTTTACATTATAGATTTGTTATACAACTTATAAACTCTTTGGATCTTTTTATGTTTTGTCGTTTTGTTTTATTTGTTGACGTATTTTTTATTATTTTTTATAAAGAATCTAAAGTTCAATAATGATAATGAGGGACAAATTTTGAAATAGACAAACATTAGCAATGAATGGGACCTTTGCATAGGTGCATGCTACAACCTACCCAACGCACACAATCACTCGCATGATTGTCCTTGCACCCCGTTGCCCACTGCCTAGTTCACCTGCTTGGACTTTGCCTATTCATAGGAATGTCAATTCGATCTGGTCCAATGTGAGTCCATTGGACCTGGTCCAATCCAGTCCAATGAATATTTTGGACTAGTTCAGAGACTGTCCAATCGGTTCAAATTTCTATTAATTTAGATTGTTTTAATTCAAACCTGGTCCATTGACACCTATATATGTTCTTATCTTCTATTAATGGATCAGATATTGGCTCAATCCAATATAAATTCAATATGGATGGACCAGGTCCAATCCAATATATCATATTGGTCCATCTAGTCCATCCAAATTAATCCAATATGTCTTATTGGTCCATCAAATCTGTCCAAACAGATTTTGATTTGGATGGAGTCCAACCCAAAACTGGTCCATTGACACCCCTACCTACTTGCCAGCCCACCCACCTGCATTCTGCAACCCGCTTGGCCGACCCACCCGCCTTGGCCTTAGCTACCGCTTTGTAATTAACAACGCAAAAAGAAAAAAGAAAGTCCAATTTAAAAGAAAAGAAAAATATACAAAACATTAAATATAACAATTGAAAAACAATAGAAAAACACTAAATAACTATCTTTTCTTAATCAAATAGTCTATAATAACAATAAAAAAACACTGGATCAAAACTGTAAAATCACTTGTAACTTAACATTTTGGTGAGTGAAACAATTTTATTTTCAACAAAAAATATCTAAAGAAAATAAATGAATAAACAGAATAAAAAAATTAGAATTAGTTACAAGATTCAAATTAGAACTACTGAGCTAATCTAATAAGCAACAAAACCTTGGAATTTTGAATTAGGAGCTAATATGTGAACTTAAAGCACAATAAAAAAAAATTGTGTATTTAGAAAATCATATTAACTTTTGGCCCTCTTAAGAAAAAATCCTGATTTTAAAAAACGTTTGAATTGATCAATGACCCATTGATCCAGGTAGTCAAATTGTCAACACATTTGACCTGATGTCCTGGGCAACAATTTTTGGACTTTTTGTTTTAATTATTTTTATATATTTTTTAAATTGCAACAGGTCGTCCATTTGGAACAAGTCATTGATTTGAACTATATATTCAAATATTATTGATAATTTAGGGGACGTCCCTGGTACACAAATAAAATGGCTTATACCAAAAGTATGAAAACATTGTGAGAGGAGCCACCTACAACATAATTAATATACCAAATTTGGAGTGTCATTCACAAAGGGTATGGACAAAGGATCCACCCCACCCACCATCTACCATTGAGTTCTGTAAGAAAATAACTTAAGGTTGCGTTTGGTTCATCGGTAAATAAGTGAAAAAGAAAAAGTGTTCTGAAAGACACTTCTAAAAATTTCTGTAGTTAAATTAAAACTCCCAAACAACTTTTCTTCTTCACTTGATTATCTTGGGGCTGAACCAAGCGTACCTAGCAAATGGCCATTGTGACTATAGAATTTAGGATCTTCATATTTTGTAAACAAAAGTAGTATATGAAAGATTAAAACACATGGTGGGAGCCTGGGAATCTGGAATCCTTACTTTCAGTTTTAGCAGAGAATTAGAAGATGAAAAGCTCCACACTTTTTTCTGTTTTAAATGATCAATATTCTTACTAGATGGACGCACAGTAAGCACATACAATGTCTTCACAAAGGAAATTTTCTTTCATTTATTCATTAATAAGCTGGCTCTTATATCCGCTATTACATAGCATTTCTAATTCAGTCGCAGATCATGTTTGGTAAAAGAAAAAAGAAATACAAAAAGGACCAAGAAAGAAAGAAACCAAAGGAAAAACTGCTAAGACTCTCTGACTCTGATTTTATTCGATTATCCCTCCCACAACTCTTCATGCAGTAGCTGTCCATCCAAGATAGAAAAACATAAAGTTAGTCAATTTGAACATGAAGGAGTCTCTTGTGAGACATCCGATAAGATTGAAACAATACACAGAGTGCATGCGCAAATCGAGAAATAGTTCAAAAAAATTTTTTATAAGGTACCAACCAGCTGGTTGATAAGGTCTTTTATTGATAGTGGAGACTTGAGATGAAATCCCGCCTCCACCTGGGTTGGGAGGGTTATGGGTTGAGGGATGGGCCATGTAGCCCTTCAAATAGAAATCAAAAGAAAAAAAGAAGAAAACACTTGAACATGAAAGAGAGAGAGAAAGAGGCTTACGACAAGCCATGGGTGGGAGACGGCATTGAGTAGGCATACGAGCAACAATTTGGAGAGTGCTGCAGAGGCAGGTCTGGTCAACTCCATGGAGGGCATTGCAGCATTCAGCGTTAGGTTGGGTCGAGACACCCGGCAGAACAAAAGGTGCACACGCGGTAAGGTTAGTGAGCTCGTTGGCGCAGTTCTGGGATCGAGCCATCTGGGTCTGGCACGCCACAGCGATGAGCAACAACATCAATGCAGTTCGTGAGCCCAGAGACACCAGAGATTTCTTGGCAGCCATAATTTACACTATATCTTCAAGCCTAGGTCGTAAGAAACTGCTTTGGTGGGTCTGTGTGGTTAAGGGTTCAAGCCTGCCCCCCCCCCCCTATTTATAGAGCAGGAGGAAGGCAGATTTGGATGACACAAACTGCCAAGAAAGTTAACTTTTCCATGACTTACCTACACTCTACTTCTTTAACCCAACAAATAAGCGTGTCCTTGCTAGCCCAAACGAACTACTTGAAGTTGCAGGAGGCCTAATCAAGTGATAAACTGTGTATTTATGCTTGGGATATCTCTTAATTAACTAGCTATTCCCATCATCTAAATTTTCTTACATTTTATTTATTTTTTCATAATTTCTGAATTTCTTCTGTATTTTGATGACTTGAAAAATTAATGGGTTGGACGGATTGGGTTGGGTGAAGGCGAATTTAGTTTCAACCAAAACCCAAACCCAATTTGCTATTTGCCACCCCTAGCTGCTAGTTGAGAGTGAAAGTTCTGATGGATCTTTTCCAGGCATTAAGAAGTGCAAGGGAATGAAGGAGCCTTTTTCCTTCATGTGGATTTGAGGAAGGTGCAATGAGGTACTAAAAAGTATTAGAGGTTGAAGAAGAGAAATTCTATCTAAGGGGTTGTGGTAGATCATTTTTCGTATAGCTGCTTCTGGTTTTGGGTTTGGAGTTCTGGGCCGTTCTTTTTATTGTGGCCCAGTTTTTGCTTTCTTTGAGTTGCAAGGAGTGGAGACTTTGGGCTCTAGGTTCTTGGGTTTTGAGCCCACTTGTATCCCGTTTCTTTGTCTATTTTCTTTTTTCTTTTAATAAAGTTTTATTTTTACTGAAAAAATATTGTATTTATTACTAAATTTCGTTTGATTATATTGTTGTATTTTTACTGAAATGTCAGTTTATATTCAATACCAAAGTCACTTTTGATTCATAATATTAATAATATATAATATATTTTAATTAGCTTTAGTCCAATTTCTTAATACTATTACATTGAACAATCGATTGAAATCTAAATTCAATTCAAATCCAAATGTTAAAAAATAATATTTAGATATAGGTATCCAATTCTATCCGACCCATTTGCAAGCCCTATTAGAACCGAACCATCAAGGTAATTTAGGAAAGTAAGGTGCCTATCCCACCATTCAATTATCAACCATTTCCTTTTGAGGCTGAAACCCTAAAGTGATCACATAGATAGAGGCCATCTATATATCAAAGAGAGATAAGTAACCCATGCATATAGGAATTCTTCTATACTAGTTTCCTTTTGAATTAAAGTACAACATGCCACTATTGTAGGACATGTAGAAGGAAAGGAAATCTGAATTGCTGCTGCTGCTGCTGTTACAAGAGCTTCCATCCTCTACCTCCATCCATGTTAAACTTCTTTAGTCTTCCAAAGAACATGACAAGGATGAGAATGACCTTCCCCTTGTTGCTCCATCTTCCAACAAACCCATACCATGAGTCCTTGCATAATCCTTGAGGATTCAGCTGCCGTTTGCAACTGTAGCCGGCTGTAAATCCCACATTTCCATATGCACTGCATGTCAAAGCATTTGCTTTAATTTTGAGTATGTGGATGTAAACTGAGGCTATATATGATGAGAGGATGCTCAAAGAGGAAGTGTATAATATTTAATTAAGGATGAGACCTGATAACTTCTATGATGATATTCAATGTTGAGAAGTTAAGAGGATCTTCCTTCATCTTTTCCCTCTCTGTGATGCAAATGAGGATGATGAATATGACCAAATAAGAAAGTTGTGAGAATATAAGGTTTTCTGCAAGCCTCCCTCTGCTTGTACTCTTCTTTCCACTTCTTGAAGACTTGCCCACATCTTTGGTGATAGGTAGAAAGGAAGTATACGGAGGAAGGTACCTATAGAACATGTTAACTAGAGATGATTAATTAGTTAATCAGATACTACAAAAGCTAGAAAAGCTTTAATTAATTTGATTGAAATTAATTGTTGTATGATTACTTTTATGTTTTCAATAATTTCTAAAATCCAACATATATAACAAGCACAGTTAAGATTCAAAGCCATTAGAATTTCATTCTTGGAAAAATGACCTGTGGCTGACTCACTGACTGGAAGAATTCCAATTCTTTGGTGGGTGGTCAGTGGGACATGAAGGGAAACTATTGGAAAGGTGATTCAACCTGGCCCTATTAATTAATTAATGTTCACCTGAAACTAACCCTACTAATTAATAGTCATACAGAATGGGGGGCATCACACCCAGCTCCAACTAGGGTTGGGGGTGGATGTGAATGGTTCAACCATCCATTATTGTCATTAATTATCAAGATTGGTAGTAGAGCCATGCACAGTCAACTTTGGAGGAAGACAAAGAAGATTACAAATTTAAAATCCTTTATGTAGCATTAGAATTTATTATTAATTAATACTTCCTAGGAAGTATGTAGAACCTCAACTTTTGATCCCTGGACTAGTAGTTTTCTGTTATTCTAATCTCAGCTGAATTCCATTTTATTAATTTCCTTATTCTACTACCAGACAATAATTGATATATCTTTTCTCTAATTGACACTGAGAGTGGATCTCCTTTGACTTGTAACTCTAAGCAAAACTAGGGAAGGTCTTATGCCAATTGCCTGGAGATTGATAGAGACGTACTTAGGAGGCTTGCTTTTGTTTTTCTTTTCGTTTCTAGAAGTTCTACCTCAGAACTTCTAGGGCTGCATTTGGCACTTCTTATTTAAAATAAAAGACTTTTTTCTTTTTCTTTAAAATAAAAAATGCCAAATGCAGCCTACTGTCCTTTTCTTATAGTTTTAATTTGGAGATAAGTTTCTACATTTTGTGTGGTTAATGGAAGCTGGTTCATGTGAACCCCATCTAGGTTAAGTACCCGTGAATGTGTACTCTCCACTCCCATCGACTAAGGATGGTCAAAAGTTGCGTCTTGGAACAGTATTAATAGCATGTCACAGTTCAATTAGGACCTCTAATATTATTAAAATATCCATGAAAAATATGCACACGGATGTACCTAAATTCAAATTTAATTCCCTACATTCGGATTCAAAACTCACATTCAAATACCATTAATAAATTATAAAATATATTTATATTATATTTTTTGTATTATTAATATAAATAATTAAATAAAATGATGCAAAAGTAATTAAAATAATTCTTTAATAAAATTTAATTAAATAAAAAATCTACTAATGATTGGGGCAAAACCTATGATACATCTGTTGCAATGTACCTATGATTAATTGAACATGATGGGAAGTACATCTTATTATTATAGGTGAAAATACATTTTTAGAAATGTGAAACAATGAAAAGTAATAACGTATAAATACACCCTAATTGATTAGCATGGGGAGAGGCATGATATAAAAAATACTTATAACCAATCAATTGGCATTGTAATAGTGGTAACTACGGGTGTAATTGGACTGGATTTGGTCTAATCAAATTCAGTCCAATGTGAATCTATTACAAATGGACCAGGTCCAGTCCAATCCGGTGAATATTTTCAACTATTTTGGACTGGTCCAATTTAATGTCTAGACCGTCCAATCAGTTCAAATTCGTTTTAATTTAATTTTTTTCAACCCAAACCCAATTTGTCCAAATTCATTGATACCTATATTGTTATTTTATATCAACAGACCGGATATTGACTTAACCAAACTGAATCCAATATAAATTTATTACGAACAGACCTGGTCCAGTCCAATCTAATAAATATTTTGGACCAAATTGATCCAATCCAATATGTCTTATTGACCCGTCGGGTCTGATCCAAACTCTAAAACCGGTCCATTGACACCCTTAGTGGTAACCAATCATGTGGGCTACCATTACCATCAAAATTTACCAGGGCGATTCCTTCTGGGATCATATGTCATTCCGGCATCATAGGACGTTTTTCCATTTTTAATTATATATGGGTATATATAGAGAGAGAGAGAGAGAACTGACATCATTAGGACGAATAGCACCAGTATGGCCGGCGAGAGGATTGAGAGATCAATGATCGATTCACCGGTGTGCCTTGAGTTAACTGTCTGAAACAGGGAAGCCACGAGTTTCTGAAAGGGATTCAGTCCATCCAAGCCTTCTGAATTCCATTCCAGAGAGCAAAAGAGTATAAACTGAACCACAATGAACCCGAAAACAGTAACAACTAAAAGAGAAGAATGCAAACTGGGAAGCAAGTGAAAGTATTTCATCTCTCTTGTATTCATCAGCATGTAATTGAACTCCTGCCTCTTAGTAAACTTCCCCAAAACCCATATCAGAAATCTCAAGCAAGACGGGTATAATGTGTTCCCAAGAAGAACCTGAGGGATAAGAAGTAGGAGGAGTCCCGAGTTCTTGCTGAAGACAATCATGTTCTCATTTGTAGGGACGAAACCACAACTTGCAAACGTAGAGACAGTAGTGAAGATAGAGAACGTGGGGATTTGAAGGCCCTTGTTCCTGAGTACATTTCTTGCACTTGGAACCAGACTCACATACAGTGCAACCAATGCAGATCCACCTATATGAACCACTAGAAGATAAACCAGAATTACAAAAACCAGATACCTTATTGAATTGTATCTCAAATCTTCTTCATTAGAACTCAAGATTGATTCCACTGCAGACACAAGGTCGACACTACTGGGTTTCCTTGATTCAGTTTCAGACAAAATTACCATCCCCAACTCAATCTGATCCACGGGATTCGTGGGACTCAGAGACTCACGACTTACAGAACCGACTCTACTGCCATGGATCCTGGCTCGGTTCCTTAACTTGTACTTGGTAAAAAGAAGCCCAAACATTGAAACAAAAACCTCCCCTCCTACAAACATTAAAATGGTTATAAACACAAGTTGGGTGTTGGAAAAGACCTCCATTTCGACGGTAGACATGCTGGAAACAGTCGTCGCAGACACTGAAGTGAAGAATATATCCAAGTCCTTGGGTTTAAAGGAATCGGTTCTTGGATTCAAAAGTTTCAGAATTAAGAAACCCAGAAAGGAAACAGAGACGAAGTAACAAACAAGAATATAAAATGGGTTTGCCCGGAAGAATAGGAAGCGAAACAACAAGATCAGTAGACTCCAAATAGATCTGCTAAAACAAGCTAGCTTCATGCATGAACAACTACAGAGATGGCTTATTCTCTTGCTAAAAGAATGAAAGTTCTTCATCCTTTTGTACTTCAATTTCGGTATGGGAATTGAGAGAACGATTGCGAGGCTGTATGGATGTGGGCTGGGTGTTTATATAGGGGAAGGATCGAAACCATCAAAGCTTTCATGTGTTGATATGGTCCCACCTGAACTAGATGAAGTGACGTCTTAGTGGGGCCACATCACTCGTTTAGCCCCCGTCTACACACCCCAGCGTGCAAATGAATCCGTGCCTAGGATAAGGCTCATTTTGGAAAGAGCACAAATATAAATATGTAGAGTGCAAAATTTGTATAATTTTGTATGGATTTTCACTTTACATATTTGTATTTGTACTCTTTTCAAATTAAGCCTAAATTAGGAATGAATCCGTCAACACACCCCAGCGTGCAACTGAATCCGTGTATAGGAAACATTTAAAAGGCTCAGTTTGGAAAGAGCACAAATATAAATATGTAGAGTGCAAAATTTGTATAATTTTGTATGGATTTTCATTTTATATATTTGTATTTGTACTTTTTCTAAATTAAGCCTAAATTAAGAATGGCAATGGGGTGGGGATCATATTTTCTGTCCCCACCCTCAATTCTGAAATTAATCCCATCCCTATCCTCGATCCCTAGTGGGGATAAAATTTATCCTCTATCCCTAATCTTCAATGGGGATGGATTTTCTGCGAGGACCCGGATCCCTAAATTTTTTTAGATAATAGTATTTTTTTGAAAAATAAATATTTTAAATTATAAATAATGTTTTGATATATATATATATAGATATAATCGGGGTCGGGGCGGGGTAGGGTAGGGGCATCAATCCCCATCCCCGACCCTGATTGGGGATTTCTATTAATCACATCCCTGTCCACGCCCCGCCAAAACAATCCCCATTCTCGACCCCATCGGATTGGGGAAGTTGGGTCCCCACCAAGGATGGGGAAAATTGCCATCCCTAGCCTAATGGTTTGGACTTCTTTGACCCACATATTTTCCTTTTGTCAACAGGTACTGATGGGGAAGTTAGGATCTGCTACAATTGGTGGGTTGAACTTCTCGTGCATTTTGGTCCATGATCCTTTTACACATGGATGGAAATTTGCAAAGGAGAAATTGGTTTTCGGTCATTATTGGAAAATTTTAATTTAATAATTTCCATAACCAAATTTTCATGTTTTTTTATAATTTAATTTTAAAAAACTTCAAATTACTAAAAATTTTTTATATTTTCAGAAATTAATTATTCATAAATTTAGAAATTTTTTAAAATTAATTTATTAATATCAATAATTAATGAAAATATTAATAATTTGCTAAAAATTTTCAATATTTCAATATTAAAACATTATTACATGAAATTAATTAACTATTATTATTATTATTATTATTATTATTATTATTATTATTATTATTATTATTATTATTATTATTATTATCTGAAATTGATAATTATTACCAAAAATTTTCATTAATTTTCAAAAATTATTCTAATTACAATGATTAAAGTTTCAACTTAGCTTAAGATTTTCAGTACTTAAGTATTCATAAATGCATAAATTTTGAAATTTCATATCAATAATTATTGAAAAATCAATTAATGAAAACATTAATACTTATTGATATTTACTCAAAGTTTTCAATATTTAACTATTAATTTATCATCATCATCATCATCATCATCATCATTATTATTATTATTATTATTATTATTAGGTAAAAATAAAATTTGTTAAAAATGAAAAGAAGGAAGATAGAAGAAAACACATCCTAGGCCCAAAAAGTTCCCAGACTCAGTAGTAAGAAGCAAAAAACTAAAGCAAAGAAAATACACCTAACCCACGACAAAGAAACACCAGACCGTAAGCCCCCACTAGATACACAACCTCTTTCAATAATCAAACAACTTAAAAGATGAGACTCTCATATGAAAGAAACTACGAAAACAAACCGGCTTCCATGAAGTGATGATATTTATAATCTAGATCATAATCTAAATTATAATTTATAATCTAGATCATGCATCCTTTTGAAATCAAGAATGATGATATTTAATATCTTGATTTGAGGAAAGAGGAATGGCAATGGGGCAGGTTCGGGGCAGGGATCATATTCCCTATCCCCGCCCCCGATTCTTGTCGGGAATAAAATGTCTTTCATCCTCGATCCCCGATGGGGATGGATTCCCTACGGGAATCTGAATCCCTGAAATTTTTAGATAATAATATTTTTTTGAAAAATAAATTTACTTAAAATAAATAAAAAATTTTAATTATAAATAATATTTTAAATATTATATATATATATAATCGAGGTCGTGGTGGGGCGGGGACTTCAATCCCCATCCCTGACCCCAACTCCAATCGGGGATTCCTATTAATCCTCGTCCCATCTCCGCCCCGCCAAAACAATTCCCATCCCTGACTTCATCGGATTGGAAAAGTTGGGTCTGGTCCGGGATGGGAAAAATTGCCATCCCTATTAATAGTGAGAAAAAACCAAGTAAAAAGAAGTCCTGACCCTTAGATGAATAAAAAGGTGAGAAGGGATTTATATAGACATTCTCCCTAAATTTATCTGACCACTTCAACTTCCTGTCAAAGCTCATCAATCGTGTAAGCTCTTCCAAATGAATTATTGAATGTGCAGAACCAATGAACTGTCAACATTAATAGACTAGGTCATATTCCAGATATAAGCATTTGGATTGTAAATCCCATTATATTTATTAGGAATACCAGATATCTTTTAACCAATGCAATGCCCTAACACGAGCTTGCGACATTCCAAAGTTTATTAAAACAATATTCAAACTTCATATATCTCCACTGAATGCTGTTCAGTGGCTGTGAAACCAATGATAATATTCTAAATAATAAATTTATGGGTTCTACTATAAAAAGTGGTGGAGGTTTTACTTTAGGAAAAAATACACTGTAATCCAATGCAGAATTCTAAAAAATTATAGCCCTTCATAGTCTATTAGTAGTCCCCCACCTCCACTTCCACCCACACACACACTATAAATCGCATCCCGCTGATGAATTTGACATCAATCCATGGTCAAGATTCATCCCCTGTTCGGTGAAATTAAAAATTCTGAACTGAGCTGATCAATCATTTTCTTATTATTTTATTACATTCATGGAATATTATCATTGGTTAATTCCACAGTGCAGTGAACTGCTATGGCATTCAGCTAATCCTTGCTCTTTCCAGGATGGAGCCAATAAGTCGTCCTTACGCTTTAGTTTCTGCATAAAATTCTTTTCTATTGAATTAAAAAGTAAGAATAATTGAGAGGTCGGAACAGCTAACCTATATGAAAAAGAAGTTTCTATATAGTCCTTTTATTTATTTATGATTAATTTATTTTTCTCTTTAATTTATCCTGTACTTCAAATTATTTGAATGTTATTCTGAAATGAAATTAACATAAGTGAGGAGAAAGAAAAGATGTTGGATAGGAAATCCCAAAGACAACTTTAAAGATTATCATAACTAAGGACCTCCTCACAAGTCATAACTTCTCTTCTTCACTTAATTGGGGTTGAACCAAACGTAGCAAAAAAAAAAAAAATTGAATTTAGGGGTTTCATTTTCTGTAAATAAAAGGAGCATTTTAAATATTAAAACACATATATCATATACATCATATTATTTAATCATGCTAGTTGGAGCCATTCAGTAGCAGATTCTGATGCCATAGATAAGAGACATGGCGATTGATGTAGCCATCAAATAAATCCTATGACTATGGTCCCTAAAATTCATTATAAATTAATAATAATAACAATAATAATAATATCATATATATTATTTAATCAAGCTAGTTGGATCCATTCAGTGGCAGATTCTGACGCCATGAGATAGATGTTGCCATCAAATAAATCCTATGACTAGGGCACCTAGGATTCATTGTAAATTAATAATAATAATAATAAATTCATATAAATACCACTTTTCTTAAGTAAGTATTGGTTGTAATATATGTATAATATTAAGCAGAATTGCAGAATATACAAAATTAAAATTAAAATAAATTGAAAAGGTTTTCTAGTCCTTTTCGTACAAAGTTTTGTAAGGAAGCACCATTTTGCATGCATTATTGCATTTGGGTAGTTAAATAATAATCTCTTTGCTTTAATTTAAATTTTCCTTTCCTTTGGTCAATCTAACATTAATGCAAATGCCCTAATAATGTCTAATAAAAAAATAAACTTTGACATGCTATTTTAATTTTTTTCTTGCAGTACATGCACCACCTTATTTAAAGCAATAATTCGGGTTTATTTTTTCTACATCTACGTATTTAATTATTTATTAAAGAGAAAAATTCGTCATTTTGTGTGCAATCAACAAACCAACTAATTTTCTAGGTCTGATTGATCGTGGCTGATGACAGTATGACACCCTGCTGATTTAGAAATTATGCATTCGGGTTGGATCCGACCCGAACAGTCCCTCTAATAATTAAATAAAGGGTACAGAATGATTTTATTCAGAACGAACTGTTGGGTCGGGTCAAAAACTGCTGCCAATCCATAGATAGGTATGGCTGAGAGAGCCTGAGAAGTCATGCACGCATGATTGTAGAGTGCATTGATTATCCATGTGTAGTCCTTGCGCGTGGGAACCGTGTACAACTGGTGAGTCAACCCGGTCGTGTTCAACTGTCATCCTCTTGCAAGTTGCAACCAATGAACCGAAGTTGGCATTCCGTGTAGTAATACAAAAACTGTCGCTTTGTCTGACTCTTATCGTGCCAAGTGGCACATACAAACGAAATTTCGACACGTGGAACAGTTGTACGTAAAAGGTTTTATGTATATTGTCATCCTCCTTCCTCGGTGCCCGCGTCTAGATAGGCTTTCATACAGTTGCTGATTGGAGTAAAGTTTAGGGGTGCCAATTGGACTGGATTCCGATCCAGTTTAATTGAGTCCATTACAAATGGATCAGGTCTAACCCAATCCAATAAATATTTTGGACCAGTCCAATTTAATGTCTGAATTATTAAATTTGTTTAAATTCGTTTTAATTTAGATTGGTTTCA